GCAATATATTTTCCATTGCTAAAATTCCATCATAAGACTGTCATGCCCAAATCACATACCTCCCCCTGCAAGCTTTCCATAAGACACCTAATGGCAAGAACAATGGTTCCAAGTGCTCCTTTCAATAATCAAATTATACAGAAATCCATAGGCACTGTGTCTGGCCACTTGACTCGTATATCTTCATGTCGAATAGCATGGATACCTGTTTCATTCTTGAACTGCTTGAGGTATGCGATAGTAGAATAGATATTTCATGGAAGCAGCTTGTACACACCTGACTTGTGTTGCGTTTCGAGGCAGAAATCATTCTTGATTGCCTTGGGTGCAGTGCAGATATTTGGAGATATCTTTCTGGATGGTTCTGGTGCCCCAAGTTGATCCAAATTCTTTTTTACTAATCCTGTTAAATACAGGGAATATCACAATTTTTAAAATTCTAAATCACTGATGCAAACACATCTTTATGGTCTAATTGTAGGAATATCTTGCATCAGAAATGGCTGTTACATACTGGATGCGAAATTAGAAAAAGCAGAACAATGTCAAAATGTAGCTCTGGTGCATTCATGATTTTATATCGGTCTTAGTCATCATGATTTTCTGACTTGCATATTCAAAATCATTTTGATATAACATACTCAACACTCTGTATTTCAATATTTTCCACAGATAAGCCCAGTTTTTCTGTTTTGTTTTTTAAGTTTTTGAAGTACGTGTATGTACTATAGTGTTTTGAATACATACTTATTAAAACATAAAAACATAGTTTAGGACTATTTTCAACTTTTCCATGATATTCATAACTTCAGATAAGTACCTGATTTCATTATTCAAAAGTAATTTCCAATTTAGCAAGAAACGAGTTCAACATTCCTAAAGTATGAAATATAGACCTACTTTTTCATAAGAGATATTTTGAAATTTAAAATGTACACATAAAGAGGAATTATCTATTATGTATCACCATGCTTTCAATAGCAGCTGTAAATTTTGTATAAATAGAAGTTATAAAAGTGAGGCAAATTAAATGATTATTTGCTTTTACTTTTTTAACATTATTCTCCAAGTTGTAATGTTAAATGTATAAAGAGTAAGATTTTTCTTCAGACAACACAGCTGCTCCAAAATTGTGCAAAAGTTTATGGAAAGAAATATTAGTCTTATCCTACCACTTCAAAGGTTCTGGCTATTTCTATCTTTCTGGTATTAATATTACTTAACAGAACACTAAATACTGGAAAACTAAAAAAAAATTTCCTTCTATGTTATGCATTTTGTTAATTTTTTCAGGAATTTTTTTTCACCAAAAATCATATGATACTGATATCTAATCTTAACCAGCTTCAAGTGTATAATTATATTTATAAATTTTAATATTCTATCTCACAATTTGACATTGAATAGCATAACTTTGTTTCTCATAAAACTAACACTTTTTGTTCTAAGTTTTCACGTTAAGAGAAAACACCAAGTGCTTACTGCCTGGAAGGAAACACAAGATTTAGCTGTATTATAGTTCAGCATACGAATCATCTACACAAACTTAATAAAATATATTTAGTCTCTGATGCTTAATCGGAAACATTTGTACTCAGTCCAGTTCATATTAGTTCAAGGTGAACCCAACATTGTATTGACTTATAAAGCAAAGATAAGTATTCCTAAAAAAGGCTTAGCAGCATGTCTAAAGGCTTACAATGTTAAAAAATTAGATTTCAATACCTGTGATGGGCCGGGCACAAATAGCCCATTGTGTAGCTTTGTGTTTAACAAAAAAACACCAAAAAAGTATCCACGTGAAGAACTAAGTTGAACGTTAACTAAATAACAGATAAATGTTATTTCTAATAAATGATGGTTCTCTGCAGGATCTAGTATTATCTGTAGATATAAAATATGTAACGAAGATGATATTTTTTTTTAAACATCTGTTTTTAAAGAAAAAACTGATAAAATTCATTCACACACGTGGTAACAAATGATAACTTTTGGAAGCAAAGCTTTACACATGTTTAGGAATAAAGATTACAAGAGTACTGGTGAATAATAATATCCATTGATTCTAAACATAAGTTTCTTGTCACCGTGTGAATTTTTTAATGGCCTTTGTACTTTCTAGTTGTTTTCGAGACAAACGGGGATACCAAAGTGTATGTTTTTCAACTGTCTTGAAGAAAGATAGTTACATACAAATATGATAATTAGTCTTCTATCATTTCATTACTTTCACTTCTGTTAAGCTTTATGGTAGAATTCTGATTTGTAAACCGAAAGGTTACTCAGCACATTTTCTTTTCTTTGCAGGGATCTGAATTAGCCTGAGCATTTTCAGGAGCATTGTATAATGACAAAAGAATTATTTGACTTTCTTCAAAACTGACAAAAAATTATTTCTTTCTTAGTTTTGGAGATTCTTGATACAACTTCAATGTTATAATTTGTCAAGGCATCACCTGCATATTTAGTGATAACCTAAAATCATTGTTTCTCGTGCAAAAGACGCAGGAAATTTACACCTAATAAATTAGAAGCATCATCCTCTTCCAGTAGCTGTGACATTACTTACTTTATAGATAAAAAAAAATTTTACTTGTACCAAAAAAAGCTATGGCAAACTTAAAAGATTAAACTGACCTTGTAATCATTCTTTCCTTAAGAAATGACATTGGTCAAAATTGTCATTCCTACTCTGGACATGGTGTGGACATTCTCACCTAATGTGGCAACAGATCTAGCTTTCTCTCTATAAAACTAATCAGATAATTTGTAACAGCCTTACAGAGTTCCTGGATTCTTGGAGAAAATGCCACCCCTTGTGGAGAAATTTGGCTGTAACAACACTTGGAGTAAAGGGAAAAAAATCTGTTCAAGGTATGAAAGATTCTATATATATTTTTTGTCTTTTTGCTTCAATTTTCTCAGAAGTAGTAAGAGTTATCTCTTGAAAAATTGTGAATATATTTACGCATTACTAGTTCAAAGCTAGAAATAGGTATTTTGTAACCCTTTCACATTCTTTCAAGCTCAAATTGTTTCAGTTATTGAAAAAAAATATATACAGATAACTAAACATATTTCCGAGTATTAATTTTCAATGAGCTACAAGAAAATAGTTTTGTCTGTTGGAGAGTTAAATATTTTTACTCTCAGATTTAAGCATTTGTTATGTACTTTTAACATACAGAGATAATTTTTGGACATAATAATAATACCAATCTGTAACAAATAAACAAAACACTTATATTGTCAATTTAACTTCGAATGGGTCATTTCCAAACAATGCTGGTTGAGTCTTAAGTTTACATTATTTAATTATTTTTTTTGTGATACAGCTAGTCTAATTATTTAATTGTTCTTTTATCTTAAAGAGTTTGAAAAAATTAAGACAGGATAGGGCACCGAATTTAAAAGTTTAGAAACAAGGTTTCTTACCTTTGGTTTTAAGTGTTTTTATGGTGGCTGTAAATAAATTTCGACCTCAGTTTATCTAACTTCTTTATAGAAATAAATTACAAATTTGTGTTTTTCTCTTGCAGGTGTGGCTTTACTCCTTCCAGGAACTCTAATCATATATCTTCTTTGTGTGAGCAAACAAGATAAGTAGATTGAAATAGCTGTTGTTTGACCCTAATGACTGTCTCCACGTCATTTCCCCATCCCATCTCTTCACTTTTGAGATTTTGGATTAACAGAGTTTCTAATGTTTCAGTTGTGAAAGCTTAATTTGCAGACTCGGTGAACTGAATGGATTTCTCCTTAACTTGCCAGGCCAGGTGTGACCTAGTAGCTAGCATGGCAGACCATGAATCCAGGTGTCCATGGTTTGCCTATACTGTTGCCACAAAATATAACGAACACTTTGGGGCAGTGAGTTTGAGTAGCCCAAGTGTTGGCAGTGTGGGCTACTGACTAGCTGCCTTCTGTTTAGCCTATTAGTTCACAATTAAGGAAGGGTGGCTTTGAATAAATTTCCCAAATAACCAATCAAATCACCTAAGTTAAAGAGTTTTTCATATTCGTCTGTGTAAAAAAACATAATTTTGAAATCATAACTCGCAAACAAAAACACACTTACTTGAGCTTTATTGTGGTACAATATCCAAGTCGTGTTTGTACCGTAGTATAACCTACATTTACATTTTCTTGTAACCTTTAATGTTCTCTAATCATAAATAATTTTAAAGAAATTCACACACACACATATGTGTGTGTGTGTGTAAAACTAATGATGGAAAGGATGTGGTTAAAAAAATCTTAGCTTTTCTTAATGTATTAATTACACTCTGTATGATTTTTTTAACTTTCAGTGCAACAAAGTTATCAAAATATCAATTCAACTTTTAGGGGCGGATTGGGACACCAGGCTAAATCCTGGTGGGCCAGTGATACCTGGACCAATGGGGTGATAACCTGGTTATACTGTCCTAGTGCTACTGACCAACCTACTGTACATCTCTCTTTCTATATATCATCCTGATTTTTGAGTTTTTGCCGGGCCGTTTTAGGATCCCAATCCCTTTCATCTTATTACATTTAAGATAGCAACTATATGATAAGTGATTTAAATCTTTGACTGCTATTAGAAGAGCAAAATTCATAGGTTTATTAGACTTTAATCTCTGTGTATAGCATAATAAGAATTTAGATATTTTAGTGTTAGAGAAATGAAAAAGTAGCTGAGGCCTAACATGTTGGTTTTCATATATAGATAGTATGGATTTTATCTGAAAGTACAAAGAAATAGTTCAAATCTCTGTAAGGAATTCTTAGCCTATTCATAAAGATATGCTAAAAACTAACAGAGTAACTAAAGTCAATCCTGTTAGAACAGATTTTATGATGAAAAGAAGATTAAAAGATACTTAAAAGTTATTTTTGATGCTGGGATAAACTACTTTAAGTGAATATTTTTTGCTTTATTTATTCATATTAGGCTCCTATGAGCTGTGGCACAAGCATCGGTTTTTGACAGTAGTTAGATTCTTCTTCTTTTCTAGATAAACGTCGAACTACTAGCTATCCCTGCCCTATCTGTGGTAAGAGCTATGTTAATGAAGGATCACTACGAAAGCATATCTCCAGTCATCCAGAGTCAACGTCAACCAATTCAACTCTTCGTGTTTGGCCCTGTTCTGTATGTCAAAGTGTGTTTACACAAGAGAATGGTTAGTGTGTCAATTTTTTAATCTACAACAAAGATTATCGTCAACTTGAACTTAAAAGTAGACTTAACGGAATTCATGTGAAATTCTATTTGCATCCACTTACTTGATTATGGATCTTGGGGGATCATTTACTATGTACAAAAGTTATATTTTAAGAAACGGTGTAAAGTTGATAAGTGTTTTGTTGCATGGTATGGGTTACAATTTATTGTTTCTGAGCAAGGGGCAGCTGAAACGTAAATACATGTGGTTATTTGAAAATTTAATATTGTGAAAATACGTAAGGATCTTCATAATCAGCTTGTATATACATATATGTCAAGCCATATTTGTTAATTTGTATAGTTGAAATCTGTGAATTCATACAAAAAGACAAACTCATCATTATAATATACTCTAAATGAAAATAATTCTATACGATTCTGGAAGTTAAATAAATATATTCCACTTGATTTATTGAGTACAATGGAAAAAAAAAAGATAAAATTGTTGGACACGAAAATGTGATGTTTACTCAGTGTACAAGTATTCTGTTATTGTTATTTCTTACTATATATACAAAAAAAATTGAAACAACTATTCAAGGCAAAAATTTACCATTTAGCTCTTGCAGAAGTAGGTATATTTTTTATCGGAAAAAGTCTTATAAATTGAGAATGATTTGTACCAGTATGAAATGCCATACTGTCCTATCAAATAAATAGAAACTAATATAATTTATCTCGGGTATATAAATTGATAAGAACAATGACCGCGTTGTAATGGTGGGGTATTATTGTGTCCTAGGTCTACTTCATCATATGGAACAAATGCGGATGGATCCAAAGCACCAGTTTGCTGCTCAGTATGTGTTAAGTCGAGCAGCGGCTGAGAGAAGAGAGAAGGAAGCTGGCAGCACCCCTTTGACCGAAACCAACAGTGGAAGCTCTAGCAATTCACTTAATGCTATGGGAGGACCCCCCCTACTTTCTCCAAATAACAATGGTAACCATAACAACATGGGAACAGTGCCCCGTTCGGGAAGAAATGATTGTTCAGGCCCTAACCCTGCCCCTGCTCACACCCCAGCTCCTTCTTCCTTGTCACCTAGATCATTCATACAGCACATGGGTATAGGAGGATTGAACACACAGCAACATTTACAGTAACTGTAGTCTGTAGATATTAGTGTTTATAATTTCCTTATTCTTACCTGCTCTTATTTGTTACACTGGTGAACTTTTTTTAAATCACCTGTTTTTACCAGTGGAATTTCTGTTGATATGGGGGCTTTTTAATGGAAGCAATATGGGCCAAAGCAGATTTCAAAGGGTTTTTAATGCCATTTTGTAGTAGTTTTTAGGCTAATGTAGATAGAATCGTGTTCTCCTTATACACTAGTTATTATTGTATATGTGTCAACTGTGATAGTGCTAAACTGCAGCTAAGTTAAAGCATTCTCAATGTTGTAGCCCCCCTCTTTTTTTTTTTTCACTTTAGCACCAGTGGAAACATTGTTGAAGCATAGCTGTATATTGTGTGTTGTTTTTGTATTCAAAGTGCTACAGCACTCTAAAAAAAAAAACCTTAATGTTACCAGTGTTACACTTCATTGTACTATTATACACATACACACAAACATGTATGTGTTTGCTTCGAAATATGTGAAAAAAAAAAAATTCTGTCTTCTACGAAATGACACCCATAATGGTGTATGACATGTACCTAGGAAGTTTTTGTAATTATTATAAACCATGTAGAGATTTAGAAAAAAAAACAACATGTTGTATCTCTGAGTGAGTTAAAAACCTCCCCCCTCCCTGGGTATTAAAGTAAAGTCAGTAACCCAAATTTAGTTTTTTTACTTATCTTGTATTTTTTTTTTGTGAATGTTATTATTAAAACTGGAAATGAAGGAAATAGTTTTTGTTGTATATAAATTTTTATACTTTTTTTTTACAAGTTTCTGACTATTGTCTAAACAACGTTCTTTTAAAAAATAATTTGATTTTAAATTTGTTCTAATTATTGTTAAGCTTTGTCTAATAAATCACGTAATTAATCAGTTTAAAAATCTCTCTGACTTTAGAATATGATTTTGAAAAATTCAAAAATAATTTGATGATTAACAGTTGAAATATTTATTGGTGCACTGATGAAAAGTGAATATTTTTTTTTGTTGTTGTTGTTAAACTTGATTTATTTATTATATTTTTGGGTAGTCTGTGGTATTTTGGGTCAGTAATGTGAGGAAAGACCTAGTTTCTTGCTCCACTAAAACCTGGTTTTCATTTTGTTTGAAAATTCAGTGAGATTAGCAAAACTGAAGTTTGAAAATTCGGCTTTTGCTTGTATGATGAAGCAGATTTTCTTGTGAGTCGTAGTTCTTGTATAAAACTTAGAATATTATATATATGTTTGATCTGAACTAGTAAGGAGTAAAATCTATAAAGAAGTATTTTTAGTTTTATTCAAGAACAACAGAAAAGCAGTACCACTTTTAAATAAAGCCAGTAAGTGGATCTAGGGGAGAAAAGATTGAAGAGATCAGAAGTGATATCTAATACATAGGTTTACATTTAAAATCAGTTCATTCTCTTAGCATACTCAATTTCGAGTTATCATTTATAGTCCGTTAGAATTAAAAAGGCCAAAAATTACGAGTGTTCATAAAAAGATTTGACTTCTGTTTCGACCAAACTAATGAAAGGAAGTATATGCTATGATTGGGTCTGTTTTTTTTACTTTCAGTCGGAGAGATAACAGTTATTTTTGTTGTAAAGATAATTAGTGATATTTGAACCAAAAATATATTTCCACCTTATAAGGTAATGCGTTTATTTTGTTGTTGTTTTTGTACTTTTACTACACTTGACTTAATATCTACTTTGAGTTAGAAGTGTTGGACTAGGATGTTTGTTTAAAAACAAAAAAGCCAAAGTTTGGTTCCTTTCAGCTTTTAGGCTACAAAGAGAGAAAGAAATCTGTGAATGCTAAAATTTTTTGTAAAATTTTATTGATGTTTGATTTTTATACTTTTTTATTTCTTTGCCATTATTTATGTTTTCCGTTGCATTTGGCAACCATGATTAAGGTTTTTGGTATTAGTAGTATATTATTTTTAGAAATTTTAATTTACAGTGTGTTATATATATCTTTTCATGTGTTTGAAGATCACCCTTTAGTAATAAGCTTGTATTATTTCAGGTTTTTATTATGTTTCTTATTTTATGTTTGTAGTGTGTTGGAAAGATTACATTAGGTTACTTAATTTTGATTAAAGGTTATATGCTTACTAACTTGCACCCTTTTTTCCACTATTTATTCTCCAGTTATGAATACAGCATGTGCAAGCAAACAACAATATAGCCTGAATGGTTATTCTTTTTTTGTCGGTTTGGAAGTATATTTAAAAGCAGAGAAAAGGTTACTTCATAGTGAATATTTTATGTACTCATATTCAGTAAAAGTGTTTTAGGAGTTTACTGCAGTTTTAGGGACAGACACACAACTTCCTTTTTTTTTTTTTTTTACTCTTATTTTACAGATATTGACAACTTATTACGAATGATTCAAAATAATGATTTGTTTTCAAATGTTTTGACGCCATCATTTAATACATGAAAAATTGTTTTATTACTCGATTTTAGCCATGATATAATGGCTGGAGACGGCTTGAATGGGTAATGAAGAAAAACTTTAATATAAGTTTAACATGACAGCAAATGTACAACGTTTCGACAAGGTTTTGTCATCATCAGGTACCATGATATGTTTTGCATCAGTTTTATAACATATTAAAACAAAACTCCCTTCAGATGTTAGGCTTAATACTTGGATACGTGTCCATGAAGATATTTAAATCTAGTTTTACGCAATTTATATCGCAAGCTACTGATTGTTGTATTTTAGTAATCCCTTTAAGGATCAATTTTTAAGCAAAATATAACCTGTATATCTTTATAGAAACAGTGAGAGCTCTTAATTGTTTTATTTCTTTGCTACAGAGATTTACGCGGAAATGCCCAACAACATTAGTAACTGATTTATGATTATTATGCATCTTGCTTGTTCTATTACCACTGTTCCTGTGCAATAACGTCAAGCCTTACCTGCCCAATATTATTATAAATGAACCCCTCGAAAAATCGCTACAGTTATGGGTTTTTCAGACAGATGGATTTGGGAATAAAAATATTTTATTTATATTTTAAAAGGATAAGTCTTGGAAGATAAAGTTAGGAAGCCCTAAATTAGGATTTTTTTTGCAGAATATTTTTGTAAATTTTTGTTTTTGTCTTAGTAAACTTGAAATTACTAAGGTAACTCACAATGAGTAGATTTCAAATGTTCTGATTTCTTACTCTGATTGGCTGAAGAGGTAACAGGACTAACCAGAGATTGGATGATTTTTGGGGGGGGGGTCTAATCTGCAATTGCTTAGTGCCTAAAATCATGGTATTTTGTGAGCTGTAGTTTTTAGTGGAACTTTTTTGGGAGGCAGAAAAATACTTAGTGTGACGCCCGCCTCCTACTGGCGTGCAAATAGTTTATTTATCAAGGAAACTAATAAATTATCCGGACGTGAAATCTTCAAATCTTGCTTATGCAACTTTACTAAATTTAATAAAGATTACTGATTGCAATTGTTAAGATATTCTGTATATGGCATATATTTTACACTTTTCCAAAATGACTAACGTCCGTTTGCAGTTGGAATTGACTTGCTGACATCGCTAGACTGACTGAATACGCATTACCTGGATGATTAACTTTTTTAAAAAAACTGCACCTCTAGCGTCTTAATGTTTGAGTGATTTTTTGTATGTGTAATAAATGGTTAAAATGAAAAAATATGTAATATATTAGAAGATTTAAAATGTTTGGATAGTGTGATATATTTTTTATCCTTGCTTAAAAAATCTTAATACTTCTAACTTCTAGAAATTATTTCCATTTTTGTCTTGTAAAAAAAAAGAAAACTACTTGCACGCCACGCTGTGTCAGGTATAATAATAATTTCTTGATGACCATGTGAATGATTTTAGTTGTTTAGTAATTTTTACAGATTTTGTGAGTTAATTTCGTGTCTTTTGTGTGAATTAAACATTTTAGGTCTTGGATTACATAATTGTGCTTTCAAAAACCACTGTAAGTGGAATATACTATCAGAAGACTTGAAATTAAAGAAACTAGTTTCGACAAATTTTATGACAGGAAATCTAGTCAACGTGGCCCCGGAACTCCAAATTCTCTTTAAGGACACAAGAGGTCGAGAAACTGTTTAACTTGAAGTGACATTGGGAGGCATTGTTGACCGGTTCTCCAGCCAGAAGACAGGGTGAGAATGAAGAGGACGCACAAGTGTGTTGAAACTAGTTTCTCTGATTTCAAGTGTTTTGATTGTTTTCCATTTACTGTGGCGCTCTCATTTACAGCTGCACACGATGTCGTGTTCCTTTATTACTAATGATTATTTTTTTAACATTTGAATTATTTTGTCACCACTAGATGTCTCATAGTGCTGAAGGAACTGGTAAGACTAACTTCCTTATCACCTTCATTTTATTTCTTAATAACCCTCGTAAAGTTTGTTTGTTTGTAATTAAGCACAAAGTTACACAATGAGCTATCTAGTGTTGTAAGTCCGCAGACACACCGCTGTGCCACTGGGGGGGGGGGGGGCTCGTAAAGAGACAGTATTGTGTACAAGACTTGCTGGTATTTTCACGACACTGAACATTAAAGAGCTCGACCAACTTTTATTGTCACGACCAGATGAAAAATTCGAATTAAACGGTAATGGACTTTTTGGCATTATTTATAGCATCAGAATCAATTGAAGAAATCCTTAAAGCGAATGCTTACATTGAAAAGTTTTTTGTTGTTTTTTCATAACCAGTTATGTGACAAAATTAAAGTATTCGTTGAATATGTGTACAATCAACGCGCGTACTATGATACTTGAGTATAACGTCACTGTATAAATGTAATCCAAGCTCCCATGTGTTTAGGGGTTCTGGCACCTGGAATGAGGCCTTTGCCTCGTGGAGGGTAATCCAAATTCGTGGGATTGCGAGTATTTACATTTGTGAATAATTATACGTAATCGTAAATTAAGAAGATTAATTAGTGAGTTTGAATGTTATCAAGTAATTTTTGCGAAGTTATTTAGCCAATAAATAATTGATTAAAAGAGTTTCATACAAAAAAAAAATGACAGGACTGTAAAAAGGTCATTAAAATTAAAAAAAAAAAAATTAGTCGCACAATAAATTTTTCCGGTAATTTCGCTTAATATATTTATATATTTGTGTGTGTATGTATTTTAAAGAGCGATAAACGTGAGTTTGTAAGTCATTTGTATGAAGCTTTTGATACTGTTTTAGGCTTTTATAGATATATATATGTGTGTGTCATTGAAATGAATAGCGAACATGGGTCTCCGAGATTTTAAAGAATCGAATATTGTGATAGGTCATTGAAAGTAAGAAATCCTAACATAAAGTTTAAATTGCACTGTTGTTATCGAAGAGTGCAAAATAAAAAGTGTGACCTCGACGACTAGAAATATTCTTTATGGCCAAAGCATATGCAAATTTGGTGTATTGAAATTATATTAAGGTCTTTCATCTGTAGTCTCTTGCAGATTTTACTGCCTAAACTTGGTATCTTTGCATGTGGAGTTAAACTGACGTGATTATTATTTTGTTGTTTTTTTAAAGTAACGGACGCAATGCAGAGAAAAGTATTGCTCGTTTCAGTGCTGAAAAAAATGTGAGCATTCAAAAATAGATTGGAGAAATATTCGATTAGATATCTTCTCCACCCCAATCCCCCTCAATAGATAAAGGAACTTTTTTATTTATCTTTTGTGCCGTTATTTTAAAAAAATAACAGTAATAAAAGCTTT